ATTCGAGTATTTTTGACTTAAGGGTGTTGATGGGCGCCGAGGCAGTGATTTCGGATAGTGCAACCGACACTCCAAAAACAGGCAACGATGGAAGGTGTTCTGGTCGGCCTCCTGGTCGTCATCTCCCCGAATTAAAGTCTGGGTAGCCTCGACACCTACCTCACTCGAGAAAGGGAGGACTATGGGGCCATATCTCGCGCGGCAGCTATTTACAAGATGAGAAAGGCTTGTTAGGGTAGCCAAAGGCTTTTTCTGTTTTCCCGTAGCTGGATATTAACGGTTGAGAGAAGGGTGAAAGTCCCTAGCACCAAAGTGTCGAGTGGTATTAACTAATGCACCCACTACATGATTAGTCCAAACGTCAACCCGAAGTATCGTTGTATATAGCTGTCGGGAAAGCTAGCCTTCTCCGTGTCATGCTCTTTGAGCGCAGGGCTTGTGCCCGTCACGAATAAAAATCCACTCATTCATTCTCTTGAGTTTGGTGTGACAACTGGGAAAGGCGATAGATTTGCTAAAATAGTAACAAATAAATGGTTCAATTTGTTGGAGTATTAAGCGTTAGTTTGACCATGCTAAGTCGTTAGCCAACAGCAGGCATGTATCCTGGCAACCTGTATGAGGTGTCGAATGATATTTACACTACACCCGCTCTTAATACAGCGACTGGTATTATAAGACATATATTGATCTACACCAATGATCAATATTCTAGAAGTATAGGAATATTTTCTGTCTAACTTAGTATCAAGTGGAGAACTCAGTGTTACTTTCTCACGGAGAGATACCACCTTGTTTTAATAATAATATAATTTTGACATTTTCTTATTGATTTATCATCTCCAACCCTAAACTCTCCAAATTTACATATCGCAAAAGTCTAACTTTTAGTGCACTTTCCAACCAATTTTGTTATGTTCCTGCACAATGAAGCGTCCTGGACTATACACCGGGGCGAATACTTGCGGTGCGAGGCCGGGTTTAGTTGCCCAAAAGTCTTTCCCTGCAATCTATAGCAACCTATCTTCATGGGTCTTTGAATAGTATCTACATAAGAAAATAACAAATTTTTACATTGGCTGAAGCTGGGCCTGGTAGGAAAATACCAGAACGGACAGTTGAACCTGTCAGAGGCTTACACAGAAACTACTTGGAAGCTGTCACAGGAGCATATCAGTCGACCGGTAAGAGAGTGCTACAACACGAAATAGGTATACTATCAATCAAAATCTTGAAGCAACAAAGGATCTACCCGTCCGGATGATAATCCAATCCACCTGTAGCAAAATAAAGCTGGCCAAAAAATGGAGAATACATGTACGAATTATTAACAGGAGGAGAGCACTTACCCATTGTCACGCAATCAACTTGACTAGCGTTGTTCCAAGCGAAATAGTATATGTAAAATAGCTACTCGCACTCTTGTCATGACTTCGCGTACAATTTATCAACCAAATAACGATCTCATCTTATTCTGTGTCACCCAATGGACTTAAATGCGCAGTGAACACCAAACTAAGAGGTTACAGGAAGAGGTGGGGAGGGTTGCGGTATACGAAGTGTGGGGAAACTCCTGGGTCAAACGGAAACAAACTCGAAAGCCTTAGCAATGAGCAACTGCAGATCTTGAAAATTGGAGAGCAGCCAAATTTTACCACAGTAGAAAGTCTAGACAGAAAAAGACGGACTCAACAAGACTCACCAAAACATTAAAAAAGAAAGCTTGCCGTAATACAGTCTATCTTCTAATTATCTAAGAAACGGTATCTATCTAGGCCCATTGACATACAATCAAACCCCTGTTAGTATGACGTAGTCGGGGCCGTGAAAAATATCGTCATACAGAGGATATCGTTGCTCCACAGAAATTCCCTTTTTTGGCGGCATTATTAGCACCAATCTAGCAATAAAACCCTGGTCAAGACGATATTCGGAGGTTGAAGAACGATAATCGTGTAATGGGTAAATGTATGGGAACGGAGTTCGTTCTGGAAAAAAATATCGTCTTAACAGGGGTTTGACTGTATATACATGTAACTTTGACCCCAGAGAGGTCAAAATCCATCGAATCGGCGTTCATTTATAATCCCATAAATGGCTATCGGCGATTCGTACATAGACACAAGTACATGGATGTAAGGCGCAGCCTGTAACAGAGAAGACGACCAATCACAGGACCTCAAGCACATGATTATGTCCTGCCCTCGATGGTTAAATGGTAGAGCGGTGATCTGGAGAATGGCTCGAAACCAGTAGTACGAAACAATGATCAAATGACTTAATGATCTTTCATGTATTATCTTAGAAATGATGACTAATTATGTTGATGAGTAATGAGTTACCTGTTTAGGAATGGCGTCAGGAGAGAGAGACAATTGCTTTATATACGTGTTTCCTTTAGAAGAATAGAAGATATATGTTAACCACCAATTGTTATTACTGCTACAGAAAGCTCGTGATATAAATACCACCCGAGTATTCCGACAATAAATAACCCAGGGGGCATCAAAAGAATTATATAATTAGTTCTAAATCATGGTTAGATAAAGCAATTCTAGATGACAAAGGCGGTCGAGCTGCTGATGAAAAGGAACAGCTCAAGCGATTCTTAGGGTCGGTAAATGTGATGTGTTTGAATCACATTGACGGCACTAAAGTGTAACTGTGCTTCCTGAGTGATAAAATCGCAAATTTTCAATAAACCAGAAAGTTTGGGAGACTTCCACCGAGTGGTTTCCTCCCATGTAAATATATAGATAGGTTTATAGCCACCTTTATTTTGATTCATTTTTGAATTTGAATTCATTATTCTGATTTGGCACCCTATGGGCCCATGCAGGCGTATATAATACTTTCTAATTTACATGGGAGGAAATCTTTTGAGTGAAAACCCCCCAAACCTTCCTGCTTAATTTCTATGTTTTTCTAATGTATCCTTTAGGAAGCGCAGTTACACTATAGTGCCCTCCATATAACCCAATCACATCAGCTTTATCGACCACAAGAAAGGCATGATCTGTTCCTTTCCCTCAGCTGCATTTCGACCGCCTTTGTCATTTGGAATTGTTCTATCCAACCATGGTTTAGAATCCACTGTGTTATCCTTTTGATGTAGCCAGGATTATTTATCATAGCTTCGTAAGATCGATCTTTGGCTTTTCTCCAATTTCCCCTCCAACATTTGACCATCGAGGGCAGGACAAAATCATGTGTTTGGGGTTAAGGTTCTGAAATTGGTAGCCACATGGACAGCTTGGACAGTAGACTCCGGGTACTTTCCTTCTATATGAGTACGAGTTGAGCCCCATGTGCTCACTTCGTATTCGAATCGCTAGACTGCTTTAGGCCCTTGTCAGATTTCAGTGGAGTAGGAATGGCTATTCCTGAAGACTTATTATCCATCGATCCGACTTTCGGTTCTGATAGAACTTGATTGCTCTCCAGGTTTCGGGGTCGGCGATTGCTTTATGTCGGGGTAATTGGAGCCGCCTTTTATTTTTCCAGGATCTAGCCCATTCTTGGTATGCTGCAACTTTTCCTACCTCTTTCTGCCGTTTTTGTGACTGGTCTTTCCTACAAGTTTCCACCCAGTTTGCCATCAGATTCATATTGTATTCAGCTATTTAGCTATGACAACTTTTTTCTAGCCGCCTGCATGGGTCCATAGGGCGCCGAATCGGGTAGAATAAAATCAAATTCAAAATCTACTTAGTGCCATGCCTTCTGGGTGCTGAAGTAGTAGCCGGTCACGACAAAAGTATCATCATCTAATAAGGAGAAAATCTTAATTAAATATGGAGTAATCGATGAGAGACTGTATAAGGTCACCAATGCAGAAATGAAAATTTGAATAAGATGGGGAGGTGCTTGAATAGGCAAAGGATGGGTCTAAAAAGAGGAAGGTGCAAGGGCTCGGGTTGGGCTCTACCGATGCTTGGATTTGACATGGCTCAACATTTGGGTGAGGTTTGAGGTGATTCGGTATTTAGATAGGAGACTCATATATGTTATTGGTTTTTCTGATCCTACCCGGCCCTAGCCGAGCTCAGTCTCCTACGGGAATATTAGGGTACCTGGTTGCTTGTCACGTTAGTCTAAAAGCAAACTAACATCCAGTTATGATCTGAAGGCATCTAAAGTCGAGGGAAATTTCCTGACACTGACCAACCTTTGAATGCTCTTACCGTTTCTTGCATGATGCTCGCCCGATCCAATCAGGTTACTCGCGGACTTACAACAGATTACATACTTTTTTAACGTCTAACCATCTCGTAGTTTGAAAAGTCGCACCCAATGTTTTCTTCTAAATTCCTCAAAAATGAACAGAGTGAATAATGTTATGATCTTCCAGTGGTACCTAATGTACTCGACAATTATAATTCAAATTACACCTATAGCGTTTTCTAAGCTCCAATGCTTATATAGACTACAAAATTGCTAGACCTTTATTAGCTCTTGTATTCTGGTTTATGGGTATGTATTTAAAAGTTTATTTGAATTATCCAGTCTTGGAAGATCTGTTCCACCAGAAAAGTAATCATTAATTTTCCAAAGTTGACTAACGCAAGAGATTAATGTACATGTTGCATTAAGTGTTTTATTGGAGATGCTGAATCTTTATCTCGGCTAGGTGATAAGCGCTGCCTTTCAAATGACAGAGGATACAAGGTACACGTGTATCTACCTTCAAACTTTATCGAGAGCGCTTCTCTTGTTAATGGAAGATATTTTCCAGTGCTTTATTTGCTCACCCTGTGATCTATATTTAATGAAGAGTGGTATGATGTGAAGGTTGTATTGTAATCTTTGAATGCAAATTTCTCTGCCTCACTCAAACCATAGTTTAGAGAATGGTGCTTCAAAGAGAGTTGAAGGTACGAGCACCAACGTGGGCAGAAAAGATTACCGTCACTCTCAGTAGGCTCTCTTGCAGAGCTTATTGATTAATTTGTGGTTTGTCGGAAACATTTGTATTTACGCTTCATAAGCTTAAGGACCCTTCAACCATTGTTAATTATGACACCTTTTTTGATTGACCTGTCATTTCTGACAACAATACTCTGTTGACTGTCTGAATCCACACTGAAGCTAGACTGACAACTGCCTTTACAATTTGGGTTATCTTCGCTATTAGAATTAAATACTTGTAATCTATGAGGACTCTTCCCTCTGTACGAAGCTGTTGGTACGACAAGATTGTAGGGTCTCCTCGACTTATTCCCTCTATTCTTCACATCTCGAACCCACGTCAACTGGATTGTACCCTCGCTATCGGTGTGGCTAATATTAGAATGAAACGAAAGAGACGATTGACTTCGATTAAGATCCCTTGTCACAATTGAGCTGGCATTGTCATTGTCAATATCACTATGCCAATTTTCATATTCGTTATTTAGTAGTTTTGGATCAAGAGGATCCATGCTGCGCAATATATCAGTAAATGCGGCCATGAGCTCTCGAAATCCTTGTTCATTGAGTGGAGTATCTGAAAATCTTGCATATTCATACAGGGAAAGAAATTGATTGGCCGCAACCGGTGACGTGACAACGTTGTGATAGATTAGATACCCAACATAGTCCCGAACACTCATAGAAATCGGCCTCTGTAATATTTCCAAAGTTCTGACATCAGGAAAAGTTTGATCTGGGTTTGAATCGGCGCCAGCAGTTGAAATGGAAGCTGCCTTCGCTTCAATCAAGTATGGTAATTCTGAGATAACAGTGATGTAATGTAAATTAGGCACGTCAAGGGACATTGGCGATGACCATCCGTCATGACTGATATTCCCCCAAGTAGAGCAAAATAAAGCTTCGGCTACGGCTTGCTCATTACGAATTGAGTCTGGGTGGGTGTGAGATAATTCCACTTCTGACGATATATTATCTGCTTGACTTGGCTTTCTCCAGATAGAAACCTTTCTTTTAGTAGCTGGTACTGCCGTCACCGAGCCCAGCGGTATTCGAGGTCGAGCAATCAAGGCAATCATGGCGCTTCTGTCGAGCCCTGCAGTAATCATATTTCGTACTTTCTTGCTCACATCACCTTTATCAACTGGTATCCATGTCTTTGGTATTGCTTTAAGTATTACATTGTCTGTATAAAGTCTTGTGGCGTAAAGAGTTATCGTGAGCAGTAGGGTAAGCAGGTACACTCCTGCAATAACGAAAACATTGTATAGCTGATTATTGTGAAGGGCCTGGCTGATGGCATCTCCTGGCGTGACTAACAACAACACAGCAAGAAGAATGTGAAGAAAACCATAAAATCCAACGTAAAACCATCGAAAGATGATGTGGAACTTCATGAGAGGTAGGTACTAGAAGAGATTTATCTCATTAAAGGTAACCATCACATTAACCATCCTCGAAGTGGTGTTAAGACGTTAAGTTGTTGTGGTAGATTCTTGTGTATTTAAAGCCCACTGTCTGGTGATGAGGTGATAAGGTGGTGAGGGCGATTGGTCATTGGTGATGGAACAATTGTAAATAAACAATTGGGGAAATATGAAAACGCCAGGGTCGCACTCCGGAGCAGCTAGGTGGCGGGGGCCAATTTTGGGGATTGCTGCTCATCTCCTTCAACCCTGCTAATTATTGCAGGGTTCTACAGGTCCTTGTACTGCTAGCGAACTCTACAAGTTATTACAAGGCCCAATTTGTCATCGGAATGAACCAAGCCCTACCCCTGCCCCCCAAAGTAGTCTCTGAGATAACAAACGTCTAACACAACTCAAGCTTTAAATACCATGGCTGAACATCTACCAGTGGTATTTTCTTCGAACCTGGAAGTCAAATAATCTCCCAGGCCGATATTCGGTCACGAAAAAGGGTTGTATGAATTTTATTTGATGGATTGTCAACTTGAAGGAGTTTTACTCGATATTTTGGTCTGAAAGTCAGTCGAAAGAGATTCCACAACCGCAAGAAGTTTGAATAATAACTCATTACCACCAACAGGCGATTCACCAATAGGCTTAAGTCTTGTTTGGGGCCTTATTCAAACTGTCTAAATCCCTCAAACCTGCAATATGTTTGCGATCATGCATTCCTTGGTCGATCCTTCACCTGCAACCCACTTCGACGCTCATCACACAACCCTCCAACACACACCCTAATGAGGAAGACCATGATGGAAACATGACGTTTTAAACGGAGGAAAAAAGAGAATAAACCTCGAGAAGATCCCACAGATCTCCGATTATGACAACAACCTAACTGTACGATGAAGAAGTGAAAGCTTAGGATAGCGCTAGGACCTGCGGTGACATTTATATTTCAGAGTCAGTGAGGATGCAAGGGCTCTGGCGCGTTGTGGGTGGGGCTGAGGAGGAATTCGCGCTACGGCGTTTCCACAGCGGGTTTCTGGACGGACGCGCTTGGCACGATTGAACACATAGGTGACGTCTAAGGTGATTCAGGTAGGATGAGGTTTATGAAACTTACGCAGTAGTTGCCGGCAAAGACGAATTCTTCACCTTCCAGTGGTGCCGGTGTAATCGCTCAATATCCTCTGCATATCTAGGATAGCCAAGAATAATCGAATCCGAACCTAAGTCGAAAGCAACCTCAAGCACATCTAAAGTCGATGACTTCTCTTCAATCCCTCTCTTATCATTCTCATCTGAGTCCTCGACCTCTTTCCAACCACGCACCATCTCGCCTCAACGCCCAATAAAGAAGTTGCTCCAATTGCAAACGGGAGCATGTCCTATTAATTTCCAGCAATCTCTCACTAAATATTTACGAAGCTATTTATACCCGCAAGGAGGAAATCAAGTCGAAAAATACAAAGCCTGGGTCTTGGCTTATGGGAGACTGATGCTCTAACGGGGCTTTACAGCTTGAGAAGGCACAGGCGCCTGAGATGTGGAGCGAGAGGGTGAACAGTTCTCTCAAGAACATGCTGAGACTAATATTTTCGAGGGGTTTTCAATATGGAATGTTTGTGGGCGCCAAGACTAACTTTTCGGCAAATTAGCCAGGAGGACTTCAATTATCGATGAGTCAATAGTACTCCTCAAAGCCCTGGACGGCACAAAAGAAGTTGGGCTAAGCTACCATACAGCAATCACGCTCTGTCAAGACTTTTCTGACATTTCGGCACGACCTTCGGGAAGGAGGCTAGAAAGGCAGAGAGTGAATTTCCCGAGGTACACACAAGTCTGCAGCGCCCAGCTGGCCGGCCTCTTCGAACGCTTCAGAAGGATCATTATGTCTTCCCATCTAGTCCTAATGCTGGTATTAGAAGAGCCCCGCACCCAGTGGTTTTTGCGATCTTTCCCGGCTGCCATACACCGGCAGATGGTCATCGTTTCGTTGGCTGGAGAGGGGAGATAATGAAGGGCAAAGGGCTCCTCCAAGTGTATGATCGAATGAGGACTTGTGAAGGGCGGTACTGTTTAAGGAGAGCTGTATGGGAGGTATAGGAGGGGATATTCTACTGGTAAAGTTATCTTTGGCCTGCAGGCAGAGAGGACCTGCATGACCTACATAGTCAAAGACTCAGAGAGGATAATAAAATGAAATAGTAATATATAGTAGCTAACCTGGTCTAGACCGGTCCCACTCGTGCTCAAGCTCCCATAGGATTGCGGAGGGTACCAACTGCCTACTGCGTTAATATACAAACCGGACCAAACTAAGTCACCTAAAAGGTCTTACTTCTAAGAATAGGCTTCACTTAGGTCTGCGCTGAGTCTGCCCGAGAAAGCATAGGCTACAGGCAAACACCGTCGAAAAGCCATCACATGACAGAAAATCTGGCTAAAATGAGAGCTAATAAAAAGGACCATGTAAGAGATAAATTTACCAGTCACTTATGTTTAAATAGGCAATTAAAATGTAGATCCGAATGTCCCGGGAAAAATACTGGAGTTTGGAGATTCTGGGAAAGGCGAGGCCAAAAAATCAAGAGGCTTAGGAAAAAGCCACAGAATACAGACAAAGAAATATCAGCTTTATTCAGCGTTGAAATCATGAACAAAAAATTTTACAGCAGAGCAACCAAATCTGCATACAATCAAGTCTGCGCTGGGATCAGAGACATCTTGTCTTATCTCAAGAAAATATGCAAAGTAAAAAGTAATCTGTGCAATTCCGGACAAGAAGAGAGAAGCAGATATGTCACAGTTTAATATTTTGCTGCCCCAAGTTCAGAATAAAGCGGAGAAAAGAACATTGTAGAATTGAGCCATGAACTCTGCATATGATTAACAACACTGAGTTTGGGAGATAAGCTGCCGAATTTTCTCCGAGCAAGCAATTGTATTGGTTCGCCACGAATGACTGAAAGTTGAAGTCTACCTAAGAACTATGGAAAAGATGGTCCTAGAACAAGCCGGGAAAAAAATAACAACTCGTAATTTTAATGTTTGGAAAGAGGGCAAGGAAGAATTCGAAGGAATTTGTATAAATAAATTTTAGTAATTTATAGCAGAAAAATATGTCATCGCTGTCAAGCTACAAATACTTTGAATTATAAAAAGGTTGCTGTATGGTCATGGGTGAGCGCGCTAATCTGAACCAAGTGCCTCCAGAGAAAATATCTTGTCTGATAATTGAATTATCGAATCAGAAATGGTAATAACCCTTATCGCATCTTAATACCGAAATTCTGGAGCATGATGGATTATGTTTTGCTTGATAAGAGAAAGTTCCGCAACTCGAAAGACGATTTTAGCGACCATTAGAGCGATCATTAGAGCGACCAAAGAGCAAGTTCAAGACCATATAATGATTTAATGATATTTTCAATAAGATTATAAAAATAATTGTAAGAGTAATTTGAACACTTCGGGGAGGATAAAGATTCAACACCTGTCCACGATGTCCTCCACGAAGCTCGGAGTGAAATATTTTGCCAGATCCCGGTTCAGTCAAAATTTTCAATACCAAAGAGTTTGGCCGACGAGGCAATGATCCAAGACTCTATGAAATTAAAATCTCACTCTCAACGAGATCGATCTCCACTGAAACCTCATCAATTTACAAGTATGACTTAGTACATCTTCATTTCAGTGACCACACCTCTCGTCGACTTTGTCTGGCCTCAGCTAGCCACCAAATACACGCCCACGCCGATATTTATACCTGACGGAGGAAGTAAAGCGTGGCGCACAAATCTGAGAGACAGTTCTTTGGCATGGACGTGAGAGAAATCTGATAAAGTTTGTAAGATGACGCGGAGGACGGATACCATCTCGACGAGTGTGAGATCTGAGCCGCTCGTAGTACTTTACTCACAAAAGTGACAGCGCGTGATCGTGGTCTCAGCGTTGTCTTCAAAGGGTATGAAGCCATCGAAACCAGGTTGGCCTTACGTTCTAAACTGTCCATATTCTTGCAAACTCCATGGTTTTTGTACAATGACTAAATGTACACTGCATCCCAAGTTTGTTGTAGCGGTATATCCATGTTTAGTCCACTGTTTGCTACAGTCACATGGTGAAATAGAAAGGTGCTATGAATGTGGCTATGCTTATGAGAATTTGGTGTATTACTCATTCTCATGCATTCTTTCTTCTGATATATTAACGACCTCGCGAGCCTTATCTATCTCCTCAGATCTTAATAAAGCCGTCTTAAAATCCATATGTCCTCGCCATCGAATAACTCTCTTTTTTTGCATCAGATTTTAATTGCGTATGCAGCTATCTAGCTATGACACAATATCAAAGAAAAGTACAGAATAGATGATTCAACTTAAAGCAAGAGCACTTAGGCCTCGGATCTTATTTGCAAGTACCACTGCGAAGTTATGGTGGCTTTTTCTTCACCCCAATTCAACCCTCATCCGCGAATACCCACTCAGGGGAACGTCTCAAAAAGCCTGAGTTATCCAGACATGCCTCCATCATACGTTCACATTTCTCCGCGCGAAATATGGTCTTAGGCGTCTCCTTCTCAAGTGGAGTAGGTGATCAGGCTACTCAAACTATATCGGAAAACACCACCTGGAGGCGGACCACAACACCTTCCTTCGTTGGCTTGTATTTATAGTGTCTGTTGCACTCTTGGAGCTAAAGTCTTGGCGCGCACAAAGCCCAATTCGTAAAACTCTTGCCAAAATTCAAAATCACACGCCCGTCGAGATTGCATCCTTCCTTTGCATCATCTTGTAAACTTGTCCTGATCCCTCTCACGTCCATCCCAAAGAACTGTCTCCCAGATTTGTGCGCCACGCTTTGCTTCCTCCGTCGGGATAAATATCGGCGAGGGCGAGTATTTGGTGGTCAACTGAGGCCAGAAGAGTTGACGAGAGGTGTGGTCATTGGGATGAGGAAGTACTAGATCGTACTTGTAGACT